AATTAGCCAACTACAAATTTCTGCATGAAAGTTGTTCAACTGAAGGATAAATTAATGGGTTAACAGCGCATCAGTTCGTAATCAAAACACGTTGAATTGCATGTTTTCCAAATCCGCTGAAATAATTCATTCCCGCCCACTCTCTCCCATCCGGCGAGCATCGGCGATTGACAACGGGCCGGAGTCGAGGTGGGCTCGCATCTCGTTTTTGAACCGATTCTTCTCGTCGCCTCCGGCTAATTGGCAGCCCACCGCCTCCAAGAAGAGGAGAAACGAGTTTTTTTTTATAGGCGGCGCACGCGAATAGCGGAGAAAGTGCCGGAGATGGCAAGGAGGGCGTCCGATTTTACGATCCGACTGCAGGCACCGCAGGTTTTTGGACGCCGTTAAAGTGTCTGAAATGAAAATAATCGAGAGAGAGAAAGGGAGTGTGTACGTGTCTATGTAACTATGACGATTGCCTCACGTACGAATGAACAACTGAAGGAAGCTGCATTCTACGATTATTAAGATGTTGAACAAGGCTGGTAATGACTTTAACCCACATTATTTCATATTATTGTACATACATATTGGTTTGAAGTTGAGAGGTCATGCCAAGTATTTGCATTACCGTTTTTTAAATTAAAACAGTTTCGATGCAAGGCCGTTTGGTAAGAATGTTCAAAGCTATGTCTTTAAAAAATATAAGCTGCAAATCAGATTGTATTTATTGCAAATTTATTAATTTTGATGGACTACTTTGTATTATAACAAGATCACTCACAAATTGAAAGATTTCATTTTGAATGCAGTAACGTTTCTATTGTTACGTAATGTCTTACATGTTGATAGTATGTTTCATGTCTATTAACAATTAGTTCTATGTTTTTTATTTGTACATGTAAATAATTTGGCTCTTTTCAAGGATGTGATAGATTTCATTCTAAATTTCTGAAATTATTAGGATCTTCCATTCATAAAGTTAATTTCATCGATGTCATTTCAGTTGTGTTCAATTTTTAAATTTACAATGCTAACAAATTAATTATGCATTTCCTTTTAAAATTATATTAAAAATATAAATACAAATGTGAGTGTTTTTATAATGGTGGAGAGCCTTACTCCACAACTGAATGAACCATACAATTGTAATAGTTTACTTTTAAAAATCGGCGTTAAAGACATAATTTATTAGACTAGAAAACGCATGTCTAACTTGAATTAAATAATTCATAATTATTGAACCTCCATTTTAAATTAATTGAAACGACACCAGTAATAATAATAATAATAATAATAATAATAATAATAATAATAATAGCAACAACAACTAAGTTCAATTAAGGTTTGCCCTTTGACTTCCTGAAAACAGTTTCAGAAAATAGTGAAGCAAGATGGCGAGATGCGCCATGTGAATAGCGTACCCGTTCTACTGCACGCCAACTGAAGCGCGGTGCGTTGCGTGCAGGCGTGGGAGTCGCTGCTGCCGACGGGCGTGCTCGGCATTCGCTGCAGCGCTCACCTTCTACCTGCACGTGCACTTCGCCGTGCTGCCCCTGCGCTCGCCGACGAGACGCGCGCCCCGCCCCGCACCGCCCGCGCCCGCCGCCCCCTCGGCGACCGCCTCGCGACGCACCTCCAGCGCCAGGGGGGCCGGCCGCCGCCGAGCCACCCCCGCACCCGCGGCGGACAAACCGGTAAGCACACACCAGAGCACTGCCTTGATCAGGGCGACCCGTGCTGTAGTTTTTTTTTTTTTTAAATTTTTGTTTCTTAAATGTAAGTCTTATGTCTATTTCTTATAAGTAATTCGTATGTCTAATTGTACCCGGGAGAGACGGCTCAGTGCATTAACTGATGTCACTGCAGACCCTCTAACTGGGAGGTCCTAGGTTCGAGTCCTGACGGTGCTAGGGTTTACAACACTAGCTGGTCAGCAAGGTCGTATTCAGTCACTGTCTGGAAGAGAATTTTAGCGGCTGGCTGCTCTGATCGGTGGTTTTCTGTGGTTTCTCCGATCAATACCAGGCGAATGCCGCAGCAATACCCTAACAAACAGGTTGCGGACCGCGCGCGATCTTACTTTCCTCTTCCTTGTCCAATCCTCGCCCCTCACACACACACAACCACCACCACCACACATGACGGGAGTCCGGTCGGGAGCTTAGAGCTTGCCCTGGGTGGGGCGGTGTCACGCTGGTGCGAGAAATCTGGTTGGGGAAACCCTGCCAGGTCGGTGCCGGATCTCGCTATAAAGCAAGGGAAAGACCATCGCCGTCTCCCGAGCAAAAGCATGCAGTACACTTACGGACTAGCGACCCTGGTAGTTAACGTTTTTGTTTGTCTATTTCTTATTTCTATTTCTTATCATGTCTGTTTCTTCTTATGTCTAATTCTTATATCTATTTCGTATGTGTATTTCTTATTTTTATTTCTTGTGCTTTATTTCTTATTTATAGATCCTATTTCTGATTTCTATTTCCTATTTCTATTTCTGTTTCTTATTTTCATTTCTATTTTCATTTTTATTTTTATTTGGTTGGCAACATTTGAAAACTAGGAGTGTCAAATATCCAAAAACGTATTTACTTCGGCAAACGAACCACAGATTTGATTTTATGGTAATGCTGATAAAAGTACCCACCCCTTGCGTTACTCTTCGCACCACCAACAAAAAGGGAGCTCAATAAAACGTGCGCGATGTCAAGCTGCATTTACAGTTGAGAAGCACGCCAAGGGGCAATTTCAGCATTTGCTCAGAACATCGAGGGAAAGTGGAGAAAAACTCGTTCGCCTGACTGCTCGAGGTGCTGCTCGCCTTCCACTTCTGAGTTCGAGTCCCGGTCGTTCCAAGCGAAATGTTTGGTGGACGAACTGGGTTTGCGGCAGGTTTTCCCAGACTTCTCTCGTTTCTCCTGCCTTTCATTCCTCCGTTATTACGTTGCCACACATGACTTCAAAATCACTTGCCCATCGAAATCGTTCTCTTATTGTCAAGTATGGCTATGGGGTTAGGGTCTCGACTCTCTGAGTTTCAAATGTTTATTTATGGCATATATGAATTTAAACATGCTTACTCATGGGATTAGGTATTAACAAACTAAAACAATCAAAAAATAAATTATTTCATTACATATAAATCCCAAGTAACAAATTTAGGAAAAAACTATTTTAATCATTGAAAAGTGCGCATCTCAAAGCACAAGAAACAATGAAAGACAAGAGCTCAAATTTTTCACGGAAAACGGACATCGGACAAAATTTTTCACGGACATTTTGAAGTAGACGAGTACCTTAAGTACTTCTATCGCGATGAAGAATCCACTTGCGTCTCTAGAAGGTCAGGCCACTGACTTTCCAACTCTGGGTGTCGCGTGACGTTGCGCCATCGACAACAAAACATTCATGTTCAAAAGTGATACGTCGATGATTGTCCAAAGACCATCGATGCTTTTAAAAATGGTTTGCTAGCCTCTAACATTAACGTTTGTCGCAAGTTGTAATTTTACGTGGCCGTGCTTATTTATTTATAATTAATATTTAACAGACCAAATATCGAAAAATAATAAGAGCATTTAAAGACCTCGCGTGTAAATAATGATGACTCACAAAATGAGGTCTTTCAATTTTTGTGTAAACAAGTATCTTTCTTATAATCTTAACTAGTCTAAATCAGATCTTTCGTGAGAACGTGAAAACCAGATCTTAGTTCTGGTTCAAGAAGTTCACAAATATTGTAAGAGATAGAAGCACAATATATTTTTAATTAAATAAAAAAACACAAGTCTCTGCAGTAAATACCAAATAACAACCCTCGTTTGCTGGGTGGAGGATAAAAAATAAAGGATTGTAGTTATCACTATTTACTCCTGATATCTTCAATTAACAAAACATTTATTAACAGGTTAAATTATACCCGTTCAATAATTGAATGAAGAACAATAAAATTATTGTGAAGAGTAAATGATGGCGTTAGATGAATGATTATGAAAAGGTTAATGTCCCTAACACCTGTGGCCATACGGACAGAAGATTGTGTTGAATATACGAATATGGAGATATGTTATGAATGGCGTTGGTATTGGCGGGATGGAAGACGAAGGAGATGGAAACGAGATAACCCCTAGAAAACGTTCCTCAGAACCGCGTCGTCCGCCATAAATTATACTTCGATCAATCGGAATAGGATATTGTTCACTTCGATCAATCGGAATGGGATGTGATAAGGCTACCTGGTGCTACGAGAAAGCAACCGCCCTAAAGTCACATGGCAAAAACCATCCACTTTACGCATGACTCCTAACAGCAACCTTTGGTTTCTCGTCCTTTGACCATGACCAAATTCCTGTGCCATCCGACTATCGTCAGATTTCAATTTTCATAAACCTCTCAAATAATAGCTTATTTTTTACCTAAATAATCAGCATAGTGACCATAAGTCAGCACAGTACACTCCCTCGAAACAGGCCATCTTGCGACCGGAACACTTACCGATTTTGTGGGTAAAACCTTATTCATGTGGGTGGGTCATTTCCTTAATAGCATTAAAATAAACAGCTGAAAACGTTTTTATCATAAAAAATAATTATTTAACATACTTTATGTTAATAAGATAACACTATTGTGTAATTAAGAACACGTACCCCAGACGGACTTCCTTGGCTTGGTACGGAAAGAACCAACCTCTAACCACTGTAAGCTACTGTATTTACAGTACACAGAGTACAATTTAAGAGCACGGGTATTAGGCGTTACCAAACCAGCAACTAAAATTTATACTCAGCTTAGCACTATATTATGCATTTAAAAAATAAGCTACAAAGTAATCGAAAATGTCTTTTGTATATTTGCGACTAGAAGCATGTCGTGACCGATGCTTGTTTAATTATAATCTTAAACATCCGGTGGACGGTTAAAACAGAAGCCGTTTTGAGGGTGAACGGTTAAGATAGAGTGTACTGTACATAGGTTTCTGCACGAAGTACAGAAATTCTCTCTATAGTTAGCCCAGTAATTATATGGCTTTGACGACAATGAGTAGACTTTGTTATTCTCAGGATATAAGAAGGGAATCCATAACCCTTCCCGAGGATGTTCCGCCCACGGAGAAGACCACTGAGTCGGAAGCTGCGCCTGTTGTCTCGGAAGGAGAGACCAAACCGGAAGACCCGCCCTCCGAGAGTGGGATCGGCGAGGAAATTTCCCCCGATGCCGAGGACAAAGGGTCTGTGAAAGGTGGTACACCTGCGTCGTCGCCGACAGCGAAGCGAAAGGAGCCATCTGAGATTGAGGAGAAAAACGCTGACGACGATGATGCTGGTAAGTCGAAATAGCAATAATTAATTCAGATACTTGATGTCTGTTTTCTAGTTGATATTAGAAACAAAAGTTCGGATAATTTATTATCAAGGATTTGTTTTGCTTTAACTCTTTTCTGTTAAGAGAAGTTATATTATGAAGTACATAGTGTGTTTTTTCTTATTAAAAAAACATGTTAACACCGATGAATGTCACAGTTCTGTAAAATTGTTCACTAAACAGAAGGTACGAGTAGAGAACACAAGATTAACGAATAACTGCAAAGTTAAATGTAGAGGAAACAGATTCAAAAGACCAATAGAAACTGTGTAATTATCAGGATAATACATTTAAGCGGTTCATTTCCATTTTTGAAGGTCTCGCTATATCTCACTCTTGTGCCGTTTGGCCTTTTCCCTTTTCTAGCTACAGAAGCACTCTTCCAACTTTTACATCTACGTTTTGAGAATAATCAGTTATGAACGACCTTTATAAATGATATTCATTGCAGTACAATCAGTTCGTTATAAAACTAATATAAAAGTGTATTACAAATTATTAATTGCTGCACAAAAGAATTTGTGATGACGTTAGGGGATAAAATACACGTATTTTTGGTTTAATTCTGAAACATGCACTACATAGATAAATGTGTGGATACAACTAATGTGTAGATAATATAGTTTTCATATATTTTCGTGGGTTATTTTCACACATTTACAGATATTTTTATAGAAGGTTATTAGCTTTGGCAGTTGTTAAGTAATGAATTCAAATCGGTTCCTTAGAAAGGTGAATCTTAACAAATAATTAGTGCCTATAATTTAAACGCAGATTCATTTAAATTTCTTTTTAAACAATGTACACTATCATTACAATAAAACAAAAATTTTCCAGAATTTCAGTGATAAATTAGTGTTATATATTTCATAGAGTTGTTTAAGAAACGAGAACTTAGTTTTTGTGTCAGTTCTTTAATCGTTGACAACCAGATCGACTTTGTCGTAATGATTGATGCGTAATGAATAAAAATTGAGCAGGTGTGTGTAAATAGCAAAAAAATCTTACAAGTTCTGCCAAAATTGCATTGCACATTTTACAAGGAGAAACGGATTTCTAACCGGGTTCATTAATATATGTAGTTGCAAGTATGCAAATGAAGCGACACTCATCGGCCCAAAAAACGCAACATATCAATTTATTGGTACGTAAAACGTGTCACTTTCTCAATAACTATGATTTATGTTCCATTCTGTGTGTTTTGTAAAATGCAAAATGAAAAATTATTAGTTTTTGCATTCATACGCCAACGAATGCGAATGTGGCACAAACTCGGTAACAAAATGTCGCAACTAAAATAATACAAAATGAGCACGAATCTTGAATTAATTAACACTCTGTCTCAGTTCTTCAGTCACACTTTACGTAACATTTATTACCATCTAAGGCAATGATGACGCTATCAATCTTCACTGTCTGGTCTTCTTTAAAGTGAGAATTGGCTCTTGTAGAGTCAAATCACATTCTCCTGAAAAAGCCTCCACCAGGTTCAGTAGAATGTTTAGATGATGCCAAGCCAAGTTGTAAGTGGTTGTAAGCCAAGAATTCGGTCATTTTGTCTGCCAGTTGCTCAAGGCATCTTGCCTACACTTATTGGAGCAATATGGCCACTTTCGCAAGTAATTGGACGTATTGCCTGAAAATTCCCCAAGAAGGCCCTGGTTTGCAGCCAAAGACCAAAACATTCACTTCACTTACGGGAGTAACCGTCTCATAAATTCGTACGCCCGAAAGCACTAATCGGTCAGCTGAATTGGCTGAAAGCGCTGAGGAGTGCCCGCTTCGCAGCCAAGGACAGCGACGGCAGCGGGAAGGCGTCGGCGTCGGAGGAGGACTCGACGTCCGCCAAGACGTCGAGCGAGTCGCCGCACAAGCGCAGCGACGCCGACGACACCGAGGACGCCACCAGCGCCGCCACGGCCGCGCAGGAGGAGCTGGAGGACGACGACGTCGCCGACGAGGTGGAGGTGCGTTGGTTGTCCGTGTTGGCATTTCAGATATTTCAACAAAAGGCGTTGTCAATGCTAACACATTTAATATAATACAATGCAATACAATATAATATAATATAATATAATATAATATAATATAATATAATATAATATAATATAATATAATATAATATGTAATAAATATAATATATTACGCCTCTATCAATCCCTTTCGGGCAATGGCCTCTTCGAAAAGAAGGTAGTTCTAGACATGCACCGCTAATATTTTACATTAAATTATTCCCAGCTTTGAATAGCTTAGTCACCATCAGAAACGCTGTCTGGATACCAGAAGAGTTTTTAGAAGTAGTACAGTAGCCAAGTTACTAGCTTCCAGACATCAGATCTGATGTTGATGACGATGATAATTAAGTCATGGAAAGGAGCTAACGTAATTATTTGAAATGTTACAAATGACAACGCTTTCTTATTCACGTGTTTTTTAGAAAAGCTTAAAAGACCACCACATCGCTATTTTAAAGTAGTGGCATCTTTTGCAAGGCAATACCGTCCGAAGTGAAAATGCTGGAAATGTTTTGTTCCCTTTCATGTTCTTATTTGTAGAAAAAGGAATATCATTTTGAAGAAAGAAAATTTGACTGCCTCCAGGAGTACGCTCTGAGGAAGGCCACAATTCGCTGGCCGAAACGTTAGCTACCATGTCAGTGACGCGGCTTGTCCCGGACAGCCTAGCTAACCCTTCTTACAGGCTTCGTGTTATTTGCTTCCATTGTTGATATCTTCACATTATCGTGTTCGTCTTGTGCTTCCTGCCGTGCTTGTGGTGTTGCTGAAGGAGGAGGACGAGGAGGACGGGGCGGACGTGCGGACGGCGGGCAGCGGCGCCGAGGGGCGGTCCCCGGCGGGCAGCGGCGCGCGCGGCATGGCCGTGCTGCGGCGCTTCCTCGAGACCAAGGGCACCGACTTCAGCAACGAGCCCGAGTTCCTGCCCTACTACGCGCTGCCCTTCGTCAACCGCCCGCAGGCGCACCCTTCCTTCCAAGCGCTCTTCCAGGTCAGCCGCCCCCGTAGCACTTCGCTTCAAGTGCACATACTGGTGTCTGAGAATAAATGTTACAAATTTCTAGGGCATGTACAAGGGACGAAAATGATCACTTTTTGCCAAAGACCATGCGGTGGGAAATTTAATAGAACGATGTTGTTTACACTTACTCAGTGTAATTTGAGCCTGATTTTTAGGCAAGTGTTCGGCAGATGACGTTGTGATGCAATTAAGGATGTTTCTTGTTCCTGCCAAACATCTGTATATACGGATTGTCTAAAAAAGTGCAAATAACCCATGTATAAATGTTCATAATAGCACTATATACAATTTCCCACTAAATGTTCATTAGCAAAAAGTAATAATTTTATATTCGTCTTCATGCACTCGACGTTAGTCACATTTATTCCAACAATCCCTATAGAGACGCTTGATACAGAGAGGCACACCTCAGTCGTCAAATATACTTTCGCTCTATAGTCTCAGCCAGGCGTTAAGGAGAAGTGATCACAATATTGAAAGTAAGATGAAACATTTCGAGTATCTGAATTTGTTTTTGGTGTCTCTCGTAATACAAAATACCGCACAGTTCGAATTCCCCTGACAACTGGCTTTCTGGCGGAATTGGCAGGGCAAAGAAATGCAAACCACTATATCAAATAGAGCCTGTCACAAAGACAGTTGCAAACGTTGTCGCCGACCAGACAGCTGCACTGAGATCGCTATGTCCGAGAAAGGTAGTTTCAGCATTGCCATTATCAATAATGAACAATACAGACACTAAGCCTGGAATCGGGATATGCCCTCTGCGTCGGCAGACAAAAAGGGAACAATGAATAATGATTGTTGTAAACGTCATCGAACATCACGTCGCCGTTTATCGCTCTAGTGTATTTGTTTAATATCTTAAACGCATTATTTATTCCAATTTCCATGGATGTAACCAAGCTCCGTTTAGAAACTAGTTTAGCATTAACTCCAACGGAAACGACTTAACTTTACTATTTTGATTCTAAACATTAAGTGAAATTCTGTAATAAGTTACTTTCTCCTTTTTAAGAAAGTTCATTGTGTTTCTCACTGACGAAACGAACTGATATAACAGGAAACTGTGAACATACGCCGATTCTGCCAAGAATGATCGGTACCAATAGTATTTTACGTGGACCTACGTATAGATTTTGCAGGCAGATAGAGACGCGCTCGCTCTTCGAGACTGCGTAAGCAAGCCAGCGAGAACGATCGATAATAGAGTTTTGCCGTATTTCAGTTTCAAAGGGATTCTAAGTACAAACACGAGGCCGCACGTAAGGGTCAGGAAGCGCCGGCGGCACGACACGCCGCGTCTCTTGCTGTGTGTTTATGCACCTGGCTGTATATGTTATTGATTTTGTCGCATCACTTCGCATTTTCCGTTCGTAACCAAAGAATGTGCTTGACAACTCTATAGCGCTCGAGATCCATTATCCGGATTCACGGTGATTAGTAAATCAGATGCTGAAAAGTTTCCGTGAATCTTTTCAAAATGCCCCAAATCGCGCATTTTTTAACGTTGTGGTTTGTTCTTGTCCTTAATTTTGAATAAGAAACCGTTGCTCACGTGGATGAAAAAGGTAGTTAGATTGACACTGGTCCTAATTATTTTCGAACGCACGATGCTTCTGATATTCTTTGTTCTTTTTTTGTGCAAAGAATATTTAAAATTCACATAGTTTTCACATTAACGAAGAAAGATCATATTTACAATATAAAGCGTTTGAGGTTTGTGAAATACTGAGAGAGAATGTATTGTTTACATTAGCGTGCTGAAAGTTTGTCGTTGCGCGATGATGTATGCATTAGGTATACGTGACACATCTGAGCTTACAATGTGGAAGAAATTATGTAACAATGAATGTCACGTAATCAACTCTAAGCGTTACCTTCGCCATTATCCCGGAGCCATTGCTCTGGAGTGGGGAAGTTTTCTCCATAGCGCCTAGTTGGCGATCTCAGGCCGTGTACATCGAAGAGTTTGAAATTACGGCGCGCCTAATTACGGAATTTACGTAACATTCTACATTCCAAAACATTGGCAAACTAGCAGAGTTTTCATCTACCGGACCAATATTCCGTGAGATTAATTTAATTTTAAGTGGTCCAGCATCACACAGCGTTGATCGTATCACCATCTCAAAAACAAATCATATATTTTATTCAAATTCCCGTACGTTTTGTTTCACAAAATTATTTTTAATTTATTCTATTGAACGTAGTTTAATCAAAAAAGAATGATAGTTTTTGTTTTAAGGCGCTCGCTAATACTACATTTTACAAATGAATTGTTATTTATCTATCTAATATGATTTAGTCGGGTAACATGTGCAACTAAATATAACGAATAGAAATGAACAATGTTCGATTTTCTGCTCAGGCGAGATCTAGGATTTATATTTATATCTTTGGGTATATTCTGAGTGTTTAAAACAAAATGCATTGGATTCAAAATAATCTGACCCACGAAATACAAATTATTCAGTTCCCTAATATGTTTTTATTATAGACATATTTGGAAAGAAACTTGATTCTTCAATAAGGATGATGTTAACTGGTAGCAAAATACTACATCCAATTATATATATTTTTTAAATAAAACCAATTGTCGTTGGCCCCCTAACTAGCTCGTGCAGGTGGCATTTACATAGATATAAAAATGCAAATACATATATACTCACGTGTTCTTAAATAAACTTACATAAACACAGTCACTCACAAGAATCTTTGGCCAAACAATAAACTTATAATCACAATACAATACTACACACTACCTATAATTCTCACATTTTCAACACGACAAACCCTCACCAAAATACATATTGCTACCAACAGCATGGACCGTCAATGCACAAAGTTGAATTAACGTGCGCAGGCGCGGTGGCCAGCGCGTCTGCGCGCGCAGCTGCGCGGCTTCCTGCACGAGCACTGCTGGGGCCCATCGGTGGCGCCCGAGCTGCTGCGCCTGCTGCTGGTGTCGGGCGGCGGCGAGGGCGGCTCCGAGGGCGGCGGCGTGGGCGGCGCGGGCGGCGCGCGCAGGGGCACGGCCGGCGGCGCGCGCAGGGGCACGGCCGGCGGGGGCGGCGGCGGGGCCAAGGCCCACGCCGAGCTGCAGGCGCTGCGCCGACGCACGCAGAAGCTGGAGCGCGACCACCACAGCCTCCTGGGTTAGCACACCGTGCAAAGACCAGTGCGCTGCCTCTCCGGCTTCAGCCAACGAGCTTCACAGACCAGTTTGCGTCACAAGTGTGCAGGTTCAGTGGGTGAACTTTTAAGAGCGAAAAACTCCTTCGTTCGCCTTCCTTCTGAGGGGAAGTAAAGACGGGTGTCCCATGTAGTAGATTCAATGGCCAAGCCTAAAAGAAGCCTCTGAGCTAAATTCATTACGACTGTTTCCTTACCCTCCAGAGATATTTTCTTTCTCCGCTAGTTGGTGAAAGGAGCGTATCGAAAATCTCTTGGTCTAACAATATTAGCGGGAATTTTAAATGCAGCCTGACACAAAATCAATTATCACCTGGTTACAAGTCATTAAAACATAAATACGACGAATTTCTTTTAAATATTGCACCTTTTATTTCTACTACACCTTCATCGAGTTATTTTTGGCTAGTTACCCTTCCAAATCACCCCTTTCTGCCACTTTCAAAACGTTTCGCAAATATCGTCGCATGAGGATCAGCATGGCGAACAGCTTCCAACCTGGCTTTCCATATGAAGTGCCCGTGCTTTAGTCACGTGGTTCGCGACGTATCTGGTGCTAAGCAGAACGAGCAAAAATCGGTGCGCCGGAGCAGCTCTCCCGTGTCTTTGCACGATAGGTGAGCGTTCCGAGCGGTTGATCCAAGGGATAGTGATACACTGTGAATTCAATGTGATTGAATGCACAACTGGGAGAGATGGATCAGGGCATCAACTGATGTCACTGCAGTCCCTCTGACCGGGGGGGGGGGGGCTAGCATTCGATTCCCGGCGGTGGCAGATGTTTGATACCAGCTTCATATTTAGGTCGAATTCAACATCTGTCTGAATTCCCCAGGTCGGCTGCTCTGATCGGTAGTTTTATATGGTTTCTCCAATGCCGAAGCAGTACCCTAACAAACTGAATACGGACCGCGCACGATCAGTCATTCCTCTTCCTTGACACCTCTTCCTTTACACGTACTTACATGCACCGCAAAACTACACATGTCGGGAGGCCAGGCGGTAGCTTAAGACTTGTGCAGTGCCCGGCGGGTGCAGATACTTGGTTAAAGAATAACCCGCTAGCCAACGGGTAGCCTGTCGCCTGGTCCTTATCATGGAATATCACAGCCATCTCCTGTAATAAAAACATGCACTACACGTACGGGAGTAATGACCTTATCTGCAGACGCGCCTGGAAAGCGACCAACGGACGCAGGTCGCGAGTGGGAAGTGCAGCATGGCGCTGGCGCGGGTGCGCGGTGGTGGCGGCACAGCTGGCGAGCCTCACCAGTTACTTACAAACACAGTTACATGCACTACACAACTACACATGTACAAGAGGCCAGTCGGGAGCTTAGAGCTTGTTCCGACTAGAAGAGTATCTCGTGTGTGGGAGATACCTGGTTAAGGAAAACCCCGCTAGCTGACGGGTAGGTCGACGCCGAATATCACCATAGAAGATCACCGCCACCTCCCGAAATAAAAGCATGTACTATACTTACGGGAGTAATGACCTTAGCTGCAGACGCGCTCGGAAACCCTAACCAATCAACCAACGAAGGCAGGTGGCGGGTGGGAAGTGCAGCGTGGCGCTTTTGCGCGTGCGCAGGGGTGGCGGCGCAGCTGGCGGGCGCGCTGGAGTGCCAGGCGCGGGGCGAGGCCACGGACCTGAGCGCGCTGCTGCGCCGCTGCGCCGAGCTGTGCCCCGAGCTCTTCGTGGCGCCCTTCGCCGCCGCCGACGCAGAGGTGTCCGCCGCCATCGCCGCGGCCGCCGCCGCCGCCGCGCCGCCCGCCGCCTGCGAGCTCGACTTCCGCAAGATCCGCCAGCACCTGGCCGGCGGCAGCGTCAAGACGAGGCTGCTGCTGCTGCAGGCGCTGCGATGGGTGAGCCCGCGCTTTCTCTCTTTAAATTATCATTATCATTATTATTATTATTATTATTATTATTATTATTATTATTATTATTATTATTATTATTATTATAGGATTAATAATAACAATAAGTCGGCCCCATGGCGCAGACGGTTGCGGCAGCCGTCGTTAACATGGTCGAATTTGTGATTGTCCCTTCACCCCTCATCTTCTTCCTATCATCTTATAATTCATACTTCAAGGAGTAACAACCTTGTCGGAATGAGGACCACAGTTCAAGAGCTGATTTGGGAAGAATTGCACTCGGTGACCGTGCAGCGCGGTCAGTAATGGTCTATACGCAAAACAAAAAATACACTGCAAATGAGCGTACGCTACGTGCCAGTTAGGCAGAAATTACACATAAACATTAAAATAAACCATAATCCAAATACTATAAAAACAGGCGTACAATACAAGTTATTAAAAAAGGTATTAAAAATAGATTAAATATATCCATCCCTTCACTTCATTGCATGGCCCTTCGGTACCTATTAACATACATTAATGGTACGATCATGTACCGCAGGTTTCCGGTACCTTTGTTGGCCTTACCTTAACCTGGAAAACATCACTGTACATCACTGTACTCTACACTTGCGTTGAAGAGAACCCATAATGTGCGTATCCCTGGGAAGTGTCACTAGCACATCTGCAGGAATATTGTAGCAGTCATCAATAGTTCTATTTCGAAAGCTGAATTTTCCTTCATCCGTTCTCTGCATTTTATCTTGTAAGTTTGTAATGCGCTAGTATTAATTTCTCACAGAAAGAAAACTTTGACTACCAGTAGAAATCTATTTCAAATTGTTGTAGACTATATTTTATTCGTATATTTGTGTAATGTAAGATTCATAGGCGAAAACATATTGAAGAGTTTTCAAACTTTTTCTTCAAAATAATCCCAAACTGACGACTCTCATAACTTAAAAAATTGTTATTTATTCAAAACCATTCTTTTGTTTTTTATTGTTTTATTTAATTCGTGATATATAAAACATCTATGTCGTTTAAAAATCTGAGTCGTTCTTATGAATACCTGTTTTTCTGTAATTTGTCAATAATATGTAAATTTGATTGTCATATATTAAAAAGGAAATGGATAGTATGTTAAAAAATTCACATTACACATTCTTTCTTTCAAACTTTCTTCATACACGCCAACATTTCTGATTAACGTGTTGAAACACGTAATTTGAACTCATTTGCATTTCAGAGATCACGCTATTAGTCAGAATACAAACTATTTTATAGTGCTGGTACCGTGATATGGAATAACTCATATATTGCTGTTGTGACAATGTTTATAGCAATAAACTACTTTATGTGTCATTCAGACTACCTTCAAATATGTTTTAAAAGTAGTTTAATACTGTATAAATTAAGTCTGATCAAAACATTAAGAAGAAACATTGCACTTTATTCACTGCGGCTCTTAAAACAACAAATCTTACAAAATTTATTCCAGAACAAAAAATGTAATAACAAGATAGAATATTCAGAAATGTCCATTAGCGTGCTCAGTATACTACTGTAACTAGTATAGATGATAGTATAAATGATACAGTTTTGCAACTTGCAATATATTTGGCTGCAAAAAGTTAAAAGTATACATTTAAAAAATTCACAACGCACGCCGTTTAACAATTTCTCTATAGTTTTGTTTTTGTTATTGTTTTTTGAATTGGTTTATTTCACTCGTAATAAATGGATCATGGCGTTTAAAAATCTGAGTCATTCTTAGGTATGTTATTAAATTTAGAAGAAATTAACACGCTCGTAACAAATATTAATCGCCTATTTGTATGTTTTAATTGTTATTATTAAACAGTGTTTTAAGCTTTGACGACGGAATGCATTCAATCAGCAGACCATCAAATCCTATCCCTTTGCCCTCTGAAACGTAAAACCGTGAATTACTATGTGTGTTATACATTTATTAAAAAAATATATTTTCTATTTTTCTATTAGAAGAAGAGATGGCTTTTGTGATAAAATCTGTTTTGATCTTGTCCATCTGGTGCAAAAATGTTAATACAATTTAATTTAATTTAATTTCTATGTAACTAATTTAATTTTTTTCATGTTTGTTACTGTACAATATTGAAATTCCATCATCTCCTTTTAAATACATTCCTATTTATTTATTATGAAGTAATTTACTCGCAATGGAGCACGTTCTTCAGAATAAAATGGAACTTAGTGTGAAGAAAGGTCTCTATGCCAAGTTTGCAATAGCCTTTTCGTAAGAAAAACGGGAAAAAATAACCCCAAAATCTCACGCAAATCACAGGGCAGCCTAAATGTACCCTACAAGTGCTATTATTACTAAGATATAAATACCCAAGTCTTACGAACATTCGCAGGGTATCAATAAGAGGTAAGGGAATTATATTATCTCGACATTACATACCGCGAACCCATTTGTACCTTGGCCCCAGAGTTGGAAGGCAAGGCTTACCATTACGCTTCCCTGCCATTAGGAGAGCCGTATGATTGCTATACCACAGGTTTAACCTGGAATAACTATCAAGTTGTGAGGTATCAAAGTTCGGTCCGCCTTAAAGCATACTCGAACGCTGAATATATTTTATTCAAATCCAAACAGACAACATTCACGTCGAGTTTCAGTTCATACCGCATTCTCCAACCCTGAACAGTATTCTTTATTTTTTTCATATATACAAAACCTACCAGTTCCGGGCATTGAGATTCCCGCTGCCATTTTCCCGTTTCGTGACCGCGCGCGTGGCGTTGTCTGCCGGCAGAGGCTGACGCGCAGCGCGCTGGACGAGCGCGACGCGGCGACGGCTGCGTACCTGCGCCACGACGTGCTGCAGCTGCGCGCGGACGCCGGCGGCGGCGGGGGCCTGCTGCCGGGGCTGCTGCGGCCACCGGGCGCCGCCACGCCGCACC